AGTCTGCTCGTTCCGTGAAACACTGTGCTTGCTGGTGAGGAATGGATGAATAAAACGCTGCAAAGGAAGATCATACAGTGATGCCATTTAAATGTAAATTTTTTAGAAAGATTTTGTTTGAAAGGCAGTTAGAGATTTTCTATCCATTGGTTCACCCCCTAAATGGCCACAATGACCAGAGCTGAGCCAGGCTGAAGCCAGGAGCTTCATGGGGTCTTCCACACGGACGCAGGGCCCCGAGTACCCGGGCCATTAGCAGGAAGTAGAGCAGCTGAGGTTTCAGCGGGGCCCCCTGGAATGCCAGCGCTGCAGGTGGCGGGCGACCCACCACAGTGCTGGCCCCGGGGACGGCGCCTTACTGACACATGTCTATAAAAGGATAAAGGTACTGGTGAGAGAATGGCGGATGTCAAGCCGTACGAGGAAGAGCAGCCTGTGGAAGTGGCTGTGGAAGGGTTTGCAAGCCCGTGTCATCCTGGTGTCTGTGCTTCACCCTTACCTACCTAAAGAACCGCGGCGTATCTGATACGACTGGGGAGCTGCCAGAGGGAAGCAGTGGTTATCCGCAAAGGAGCAGTGGGCAGCACGCAGTGGGCTGCTCATCCGTAGCAGGACAGCCCCGAGGCCGTGGAGTGAGCCTTCGGAAGAGGCTGAGCTGGCCCCTTCAGGGGACCCCACACCCCAACCCCACCTCGTGCTGAATCCAGAAGATAGGACGTGAGCAAACCAGTAGCCATAAGAGAAGTGGGACACTTACCATCTCGGGTGTCTTTTGGGTTCCAGACTCACAACTGTGGGTCGTGTGACATCAGAAAGCTGATCGAAGCAGCAGAACGCAGTGGTCACGTCGGTGGAGACGGCCTGAGTGGACAGAGGCGTCATTCGTGCTGAGATCTAAATGGGAGCACTGGCCAGTGTTGGAGAGAAAAAGCCCGGCATGTGCTCTGTGACCGCTCGGGCCACTCGGGCCAGAAAATGAGTTTGGGCACACATTGTTATTTCCAGAGAACAGAATTCTCTCCAAAGAGTGCCCGAGAACCCTGTGTGTAAGCTGGCAGCACTGATGTCTGTAAGGCCACCGAGTGCAGGGTGAGCCTGCAGGAACAGGCGGGCTGTCCACACCAGGAGCAGGAAGCGCCGGTCACCGCTGTCCGTACCCGCTGAGATGCATCAGTACCGGCCACCTTTGGGTTCATCGCCCTGTCGTCTCCCTGGGGCGGTGGGGAGTGACTGCTGCTGCTGCTGTTGCTGTGTTCTTCCCTGCGGCTGGTTTGATTTCTCTATCATTTTTTGAAGGGTGATTTTGTTGAATATTGGCCTTTTGTTGAATCTCTTTCCCTCTAGTGCTTTGATTATATCATCTCATTATATCTAGATTTCCATGATTTCTGATGAAAAATCACCTGATAATGTTAAGTTCCATTTGCTTCTCTTGTTTAGCAAAACAATATTGGAATCACGTTTTACTAAAAATGGTCAGCATAGCATGTTGCTTTTTGGGGTCAGGTTTGAAGCCTAGGCAGACAGGAAGCCAAGGATCTGGGGTGTAAGCTCCTGCCTGGTCTCAGGTCAGTCACCTGGCACCTGGCTGTCCTTGTCAGATGCACTGTGGCTGGTGTGTGTCACTGTGGAGCCCCGGGCTGTAGGACGCCGCCCTGGTACAGCTCAGGGCCAGCAGCAGCTCTTCCTGCACAACTGGGCTGGACTTTCTGCTCTGAGAGGCAGTGACAGGCTAGAACATTCCAGAAAAGGGATTTAGGTGGCAGGAGCATTGGGGTACGGGTGGAAATGAGCAGCACCACAAGTTACCAGGTCTGAGGGTCCTGATTGCGTTATTGATGGGCTCCATCTGTCTTGTCCCAATGTCTTTTATTTTTTAAAGATTTATTTCATTTTCTTGAAAAGGCAGATTTACAGAGAGAAGGAGAGACAGAAAGATCTTCCATCCACTGGCTCACTCCCCAGTGCCTACAACAGCCAAGCTGAGTCAGTCTGAATCCAGGAGCCAGTTCTGGGTCCGCCACATAGGTACAGGGTCCCAAGGCTTCGGGCCGTCCCCCACTGTGTTCCCAGGCCACGAGCAGGAAGCTGGATGGACTCGAACCTATGCATTGATGTGAGATACCAGCCTCACAGGAAGTGACTTAACCTGCTGCTCAGTGTCCCAAACCTTACCCCGTTCTGCCTCTAGCAGAGCTGTGAAGCGTGCCCCCTTCTAGAGCCAAGCCAGCGTGGGCCTCTCAGCATGCCCCCTCCTCGGGGGCATGCTGGCCTCATGCCCCTCCCGCCTCACAGGGTCCTCTGGCTTCCCTGATGACTTGCACGCCTTCTGGGCCGCTCGGTGTGGGTTTGCGTGCCTCTCCCCGGCTCCCACAGCACCTTGTTCTCAGCACCTGAAGGAGGCCTGGGCATGAAGCTCCAGGGCTCAGGGCCGCACCACCCTCCTGCAGGCAGGCCCACCTATGCTCCTTGCGGTCCTAGCTAGCAGGAAGGCCGAGCCTGTCTCTGTCCACCGGCCAGGCAGCCGCACTACCTGTGCCATTTACACTGGCCAGATGTGCCAGGTACTGCTGGATGCAGATGTGACTGTTCATGGCATCTGGCCACCTGTCAGTCATCCTCAACACGATGTTCTCCCAGGCGCTTTAGTGGGAAAGAGAGGTGAGAGATTGTCCCAGGAGAGCAGAGCAGAGCTTCCTACACTTTGTTAGGTTCCTGACCATCCCTGTGGCTCCAGGGAGGAGCTAATCCAGGCACTTATACTGAATCACGGTTTGGCATTTATGCTGAATCATGGTTTAGTATTGAGACATCATTTAAGAAATTGTTTTTGGGTCCGGCATGATGGCCCTGCACGGCTAAATCCTCATCTTGACGTGCTGGGATCTCATGTGGGCTCCAGTTCATGTCCTGGCTGCTCCACTTCGCATCCAGCTCCCTGCTTGTGGCCTGGGAAAGCAGCAGAGGACGGCCCAAAGTCTTGGGACGCTGCACCTGCATGGGAGACCTGGAAAAGGCTCCTGGTTCGTGGCTTCAGATCGGATCAGCTCCAGCTGTCACAGCCAGTTGGGGAGTGAACCAGCAGATGGAAGGCCTTCTTTCTGTCTCCTCTCTGTAAATCTGCCTTTCCAAAAAGTAATTAATTAATTAATGTTATAAGAAAAATTTTTTTCAAACAGCAGAGAGATATTCAGCCTGGTGGTGGAGATGCCGATGCCGGGTCAGTTTCTGGGCTCCGTTCTTGATTCCAGCAAATGCAGAGCTGGAAGGCTGTGCTGAGGCTCAGAAACAGGGGTTCCTTTCATGGGGCACCTGGACTGAGTCAAGGGCCTGGCTTTGGCCTTGCCTCAGCCTTGGCTGTTGGGAGCATCTGGAGAGTAAACCAGGGCTTGGGTAGTTCTTTAGGGACAAGCATTATTAGCAAGCTCCAAAATGATATTTCCATTCTCTTTACCCTGGTCACACTGCAGGAGAGAAAGACAGCAGTAAGATCTGTGACTGTATCAGATACCATCACACATGCTCAGACAGCCGAATCATGGGAGACCATCACACATGCTCAGACAGTGGAGTCATGGGAGACCATCACATGTGCTCAGACAGCCGAGTCATGGGAGACCATCACACGTGCTCAGACAGCCGAGTCATGGGGGGACCATCACACATGCTCAGACAGCCGAGTCATGAGGAGACCATCACACATGCTCAGACAGCCGAGTCATGGGGGGAGACCATCACACATGCTCAGACAGCCGAGTCATGGGAGACCATCACACATGCTCAGACAGCCGAGTCATGGGGGGAGACCATCACACATGCTCAGACAGCCAAGTCATGGGGGGAGACCATCACACATGCTCAGACAGCCGAGTCATGGGGGGAGACCATCACACATGCTCAGACAGCCGAGTCATGGGGGGAGACCATCACACATGCTCAGACAGCCGAGTCATGGGGAGACCATCACACATGGTCAGACAGCCGAGTCATGGGGGGAGACCATCACACATGCTCAGACAGCTGACATGGGGAGACCATCACACATGCTCAGACAGCCGAGTCATGGGAGACCATCACACATGCTCAGACAGCCGAGTCATGGGGAGACCATCACACATGGTCAGACAGCCGAGTCATGGGGGGAGACCATCACATGTGCTCAGACAGCTGACATGGGGAGACCATCACACATGCTCAGACAGCCGAGTCATGGGAGACCATCACACATGCTCAGACAGCCGAGTCATGGGGAGACCATCACACATGGTCAGACAGCCGAGTCATGGGGGGAGACCATCACACATGCTCAGACAGCCGAGTCATGGGAGACCATCACACATGCTCAGACAGCCGAGTCATGGGGGGAGACCATCACACATGCTCAGACAGCCGAGTCATGGGAGACCATCACACATGCTCAGACAGCTGACATGGGGGGAGACCATCACACATGCTCAGACAGCCGAGTCATGAGGAGACCATCACACATGCTCAGACAGCCGAGTCATGGGAGACCATCACACATGCTCAGACAGCTGACATGGGGAGACCATCACACATGCTCAGACAGCTGACATGGGGAGACCATCACACATGCTCAGACAGCTGACATGGGGAGACCATCACACATGCTCAGACAGCTGACATGGGGAGACCATCACACATGCTCAGACAGCTGACATGGGGGGAGACCATCACACATGCTCAGACAGCCGAGTCATGGGAGAGAGAAGCCATTATCAAGTATAGGAGTGCTGAGGATGAAAATCCACAGGAATCAGAATTCCTCGCATCTCAGTTCTCTTTAAATTCATATTTTCCATGCACTCTGGACTTATCCTCTGATACTCTGAATATCAGCATATTTATAATATACATTCGGTTCAGATGTCCACACAGAGCTTGCATTGTTAGAGCACTCAGTGTTGCAGTGCTTTGGGGTGAGTGTGACTTGGCCAGAGTAAACCAGTTGGCATACTTATGCTCTTTCCTTCTCACAGGGCCATCTGACGCACACCCAGAAGCCCTGAAGACACTGCCCGCTGGGAAAGGGTACTTCCTGTGCTTAGAGCGTGTCCGACGGCGAGGGCAGCCCTCTGACCCCGTCCTCTGACCCCTGCCCTCTGACCCCGCCTCACAGTGGAGCTTCTGGGTGGCTGTGCTCCTGGGAGCTGCCTGCATCTGTCCTCTCTGGGAAGGAGACCAAGTGCTTTAGTTACAGGTTAAAAAAACCCTGTTTGGCTGATCTAGTGGCTCCTGGACGTGCCCACAGGTGCCCTGCTTGGATGCTTTTCACTGGTGGATGTGTCCAGGACTGCTGGCATCCTATTTTTAATTAAAGGAATTATTTTTCTATTTTAAATGCTCTGTCATTTTGAAATGAATCTAACAAATGCTAGGACCCAGTCTGCTCTGGGATTCTCCAACCCGGATTACCAGAGTCACGGCCCTGCTTGTCCTGGTCTCTCTGGGGGCAGGTGTTAGTGCGTGTCCACATCGCACACTGGGTACTGGGCTCTGGTTTTTGACTGCAGCAGGGCCGTGCTCATGGTCACCCTTGGGGGCGGCAGGTGGCCACCAGGGAAAGGCCTGCACTGAGGCCCTGCCTCCTGGCTACAGTCTGGCCTGTCCCTGGCAGCTGTCTGCTTCCGTCTCTCAGATAAGGAGGCAGAAACTAAATTCACGCGCAGTTTGCTTTCAGATCTGCTTTAAAACATCAGGGCCTGGCATGGTAGTGGCTGAAGTTCTCGCCTTGCACACCCAGGAATCCCGTATAGGCACTGGTTCTAATCCTGGCAGCCCCGATTCCTGTCCAGCTCCCTGCCTGTGTCCTGGAAAAGCAGTTGAGGATGGTCCAAAGCCTTGGGACCCTGCACCTGCGTGGAAGAACCAGACGAGGCTACGGGCTTCTGGGTCAAATTGGTGCAGTTCTGGCTATTGTGGCAGTTTGGGGCGTAAATCATTAAACCGAAGATCTTCTGCTCTGTCTCTCCTTCCTGTATATCTGACTTTCTAACAAAAGTAAATCTTTAAAAAAAAAAATTCAAAGATTTATACCTGACTTCCTATTCATTTAGGGAAAACTTTTTTAATAAATAAAAAATGAAAATCAAATTGACTTACTATGCCATCATTTAAACGCAGCTCATGTTACCATGCTAATGTGTATCCTGGCAGATATTACTACACGCAAACATATGTGTGTTACCAGCAAGCACATGTTTCCTGCAGACAAAGCTAGTGGTGTAGCATGTCCATGTGGTTCCGTAGCTGAGTGATCCCTCCTACTGCTTGCTTCTCTGTTGTGTTTCTATCGCTTTCCAGGTTTGTTTGTTTGTTTGTTTGAGATTTATCTGTTTGAAAGAGAGGGAGACAGAGGGAGGGCCTCAGGATTGGCAGGGGTCCAAGGAATTGGACATCCGCTGCTGTGCTGTGTGCAAGAGCAGGGGCTTGGTCAGAAGTGGAACACCTGGGGTTCGAACCAGTGTCCATAGAAGATGCTGATGCCCTGCTCCAGCCCCTCTTCCTTTCTGTCGCCTTAATCTGTGTGTCTCTCACCTGTCATTTTGTTTTCATTTTTAAATTTTTATTTTAATTTTTGAAGTTTGTCATACAATTCTGTATAGTGTAGGATTCACCTTCCCCAATTTCCACCTTCTGATTGATTTTTTCCTTATTGCCACAACAATACATTTCTTCAAAAGGAGTTAGGATTCCATCAGCCCACTGCTGGAGTGCGCCCTACATTGCTGGCACAGACAACGTCAGACAGTCCGGCATTCCGTTGTCTACACACGTCCAACACTTTCACTGGGAGTCCTTTTGTCTGGAAGTAGGGATGCATGTTGCATTGTATCTTCACATCTGATTTTGGCACTCTCTTATCACTCCACCACTGTACATTCCAATTTACATGATGGATTCCTTATATCAGAGAGAACATATGGTATTTCTCTTTTTGGGATTGACTTATTTCACTGAGCGTAATGGTCTCTAGTTGGGATCATCTAGTTGCAAATGGTATAATTTCATTCTTTTTAATGGCTGAGTAACATTCCACTGAGTAGATGTACCACAGTTTCCTTTTTATTAAAATATATATATATATATTTTTTATTACTATTATTAATTACATTGCATTATGTGACACGGTTTCATAGGCTCTGGGAATCCTCCAACCCCTCCCCCTACTCTCTCCCCATGGTGGATTCCTCCACCTTGTTGCAGTATTACAGTTCAAATTCAGTTGAGATTCTTTCATTGCAAGCATAGAGTCCAGCATCTTATTGTCTAGGTGAATTCAACAGTTTCTTGGGGAGACCATCTCTGGTCTGAAAGCAGAGCTGGCAGAATATCATCCCGATCAATTTAAAGCCACAGCATAACATCAATGATAATTTACAACATTATGAAATTAATTGACATGGTATTGAGTAACCAATACGTTAAAAAATGCAAGTTCTTAACCACATCCTGTGACTACTTCATTGACATTTCAATTTTAGTTTATACACAGAACTGGCTGCTATACACCTTAAAATGGCTATAGGGTACTATTCAGCTGTCTCATGTCTACTTTCATTTTAGTATTTAGCAGTTTATAGTGTTGAAGCATACTTTTGCTGAACTTGGCAGATTTTAGGATAGTCTAAACTGGGCTATAACTCTAACAAGGCATATGTCAACAACTGAGGTGCAGAACAGTTTTAGGAGGGGTGTGCAGGGTGTGTACTAGCCTACACTCCCACCAGCAGTGAAGGAGGGTGCCTTTCTCCCCACAACCACACCAGCAGGTGTTGTTAGTTGAGATCTGAATGTAGGCCAGTCTCATTGGAGATAGGTGGTACCTCAACGTGGTTGTCATTTGTATCTCTCTGATGGCTAGGGAGCCTGAGCGTCTTTTCATGTCTGTTAACCATTTGACTCTGTTCTTTTGAAAAATGTCTGTTCATTTCCTCTGCTCACTTGTGTAGTGTGCAATGATTTTCTCCCATTCTGTTGGTTGCTTCTTCACTTTGTTAATTGCTTCCTTTGCTGCACAGAAGCTTTTTCGTTGGTGTAGTCCTGTATGTTCATTTTGGCTTTGACTGCCTATGCTTTTGGTGTCTTTTCTAAGAAGTCTTTCCCCATTCCCATTTCTTGGAGAGTGCTTCCTATGTTTTCCTTTAATAGTTTTATGATTTCTGGGTGCAAGTTTAAATCCTTGATCCATTTAGAGCTGATTATTGTACACTGTGACAGGTGCCAGCCTTGCTTCTTTATTCTGTAGACTGTTATCTAGTTGTCCCAACAGCATTGTTGAAGAGACCAGACTTTTTCCCTGGATTGTTTTCAGTTTTCTTGTCAAAGATTAGTTGGCTATACATGTGTGGGCTCCCTGCTGGGTTTCTGTTCTGTTCCATTGATCTTTTCTGTTTCTGTACCAGTACTAGACTGTTTCGATGCCCACTGCTCTGTCGTATGTCTTGAGGTCAGGGATTGTGATTCCTCCAGCTTGATTTCTATTCTTCAGGATAGCTTTGGCGATTCGTGGTCTCTTGTGATTCCAGATGAACTTCTGTATCTTCCTTTCTATTACTGAGAAGAATGTTGTTGGGATTTTGATTGGAATTGTATTGAATCTGTACATTACTTTTGGAAATATGGACATTTTGATGATGTTGATCCTGCCAATCCAGGAATACGGTAATGGTCTCCATTTTTCAATAAGTATTCCTTTTTAAAAAATGTTTTACAGTTTTCCTCATAGAAGTCTTTTACATATTTATTTAGTTTAATTCCTAGATATTTAAGATTCCTCCCTGCTATTTTAAAGAGGACTATACTTACCATTTCTTTCTCAGCCATGGAATTATTTGTTTGCAGTAGCGCCATCGATTTGTGTTCATTAATTTTGTCTCCTGCTACCCTGCCAAAGTCGTTTTGAGTCATGTAGCCTCTTGACTGAGTTTTTGGTTCTCCTATGTAGAGAATCATGTAATCTGCAAATAGAGATAATTTCAGTTCCTCATTTCCATTTTGTATTCCTTTAATTTCTTTTTCTTGGCTAATAGCTCTGGCAAGGACTTCCAATACTATACTGAAGAGTAGTGGTGACAGTGGACATCCTTGTCTAGTTCTAGATTTTAGTGGATTGGCTTCCACTCTTTCCCCATTTAGAATGACGCTGGCCTTGGTTTTTTCATAAATTGCTTTGATCGTGTTGTAGCATGTTCCTTCTGTGCCTGTGTTGCTTAGGGTTTTCAGCATGAAGTGGTGTTGATTTGATCAAATGCCCAGAAAGGTGTTTTCACGGGTCAGTTTCTTTCCTTCAGCAGCACTAGGCTTCAGCTCTCCACCCCTCGTCCCCACCTGCTGCCCCCATCCTGTACTAGAAGTGAGTATCGGGCAGCCCTGCAGTTACTTCAGAGTGTCTCTCCAAGAGGCATTTAGGAAGCATAACTACACCGTGGTTTGGTTGTCACTCTTGTATAACACTACAATGATTCTTTTTGTTTGTTTGTTTCTTTGTTTTTTTCAGATTTATTTTATTCCTATTGGAAAGTCAGAGTTACAGAGAGAAGGAAAGATGGAGAGAAAGCTCTTCCACCCCCTGATTCACTCCCCAAGTGGCTTCAGTAGGAGGAGCTGAATTGGCCAGGAGCCAGGAGCTTCCCCTGGGTCTCTCATGTGGGTACAGGGTCACAAGGTTTTGGGTCATCCTTGACTGCCTTCCCAGGCCACAAGCAGGGAGCAGGATGGGAAGTGGAGCAGCTGGGACATGATCCGGCACCCACATGGGATCCTCAGCGTGTGCAAGGAGGATTCAGCCACTAGGCCATCTCACTGTCTTTGATCCACCCACATGTTATCCAGCCCCACAAGTGATTGTTGCTGTCTTGCTTGATGCCATTTTTTTGAATTGTGATACTGATGAGGCCCTGAGTCTCTTGGTCAATGGTTTCCTGTCCATCTGTTTCCCACAGTGTGGTCTGCGTTCGGGGCATGAGAATGGTGCGTCTGTACCTTGCCCGTTTTACCCGCTGCCTGGACGTTTGGGGCTCCTGTCGTTGACACAGAGCACAGGAGATTCAATTCTGAACTTTGCAATGCTTGTTGGGCTGAACTTTGCAGGAGACTTCATAGCTGTCATTCGCACCTTCTACATCACATCCTAGTTTCTAAATGGTGGTCACGTGTATCTGCTTTTGTGCACTTCACATCCTTACCATGTTTCTCCTGGCACTGTGTGTCTTTCTGTTTTTGTTTATCTGAGATGCTGAAAGACAAGCAGAACTGCCACCTATTGGTCCATGCCCCTGTGTGCAGTGCCTGGCTGTTGGTCCGTGCCCGTGTGTGCAGTGGTGGGCTGTTGGTCCATGC